TATCTTCAAACTTGTCTTTTGTCTTCAAACTTGACATTTATCTTTCTTCTGCGAGTAAACCATCAAAACGTTATCGTAACTTCTGGTTAGATTTCGTTAATATTGCGAGATGGGTTTTTATCGCGTTTTTGGATCTTTCGGGCCGTTTTACGATAAAATCCGTTTTACGACTTTATACGAGATCGTTTCCTGATCCGATGCCGTTTTTAGTAAATTCCCCGAGTTAATCGTAAAGTTTAGCTACGTTCGTTTCTTGGTTATCCGTTGCCGTTTTTTACGATTATCTCGACGTTTTTATTAAAAACGCGTTTTTAATGCTTTTAATGAAAATATCGAATAAATCGTATAGTTTAGGAAATGTTCGGTGTTTCGTTTAACCGTTGCAGTTTTATACGATTTCCTCGAGTTCTTTCCGAGAAAACAAAGTTTTACGGTTTTTATCGTAAAACTCGAACGATAGGTCGGATCAAGACGAAACGGGAGACATTTTGACCATGGTTCGGAGCACGACCGTGTCGAAGGTCGTAAGCACTGAATCGGGGATACGGGAGATCGAGGCTCGGGATGGTCGATTTGACGTACGGCGAATCGAGCCGGACCGGTCTGGCTCACCGGCCGGTGGACTGTCCGGGAAGCTTCTAGTTCGCCCAACGGCGAACTAGCCGGGACGAGGCTAGTTCGCCGTTGGGCGAACTAGCCGGGACGTGGCTAGTTCGCCCAATGGCGAACTAAGCCGGTCATGGCTTAGTTCGCCGTTGGGCGAACTAGCCGGGACGAGGTAGTTTGCCCACCGGTGAACTAAGCCGGCTTGGTTTAGTTCGCCGTTGGGCGAACTAGCCGGGACGAAGCTAGTACGCGTTTTACGGCGGTTTCGGTTTTTCGCGGTTTTGTAAAACGGTTCTTCGAGTTTTATAAAACGATTCTTCGAGTTTTATAAAACGATTCTTTGAGTTTTATAAAACGATTCTCGAGTTTTATAAAAAGATTCTTCGAGATTTATAAAATGATTCTTCGAGTTTTATAAGACGATTTCTTTTATATTTCTGCGGGGAGTTTTGGCCGTTGATTCCGTCGTACCGATTTTGACCCCAACATTCACAGTCACAGCCGGCAACCAAATTTGGAGAGGAGGAGGATTTGGCGAGCTAGGACGATTTCTTTCTGCAATTTCACAAGCACCATCCGTTGTTTTTTTTTAATTTTTAATTGTATTTTATGAATTTTTAAACTTAATTATATATTATTTAGTTATTTATAAAATATTTAGTTTTTTATTTTTTATTTATTTATAATTTGATTTTTTTAATTTTTTTAAAATATATTATTTATATTTATAATAATATTTCTTTTAATAGGGAAAAAATTTTTTTGAAACAAAATCCTCGTAAAGGTTTCGAAGTAATGTCCTCTTAAATTATTCTAGTAAGTTCCTTGTAATGTATTACTACGAGCTTACGAAGAAATCATTTACTATGACATTACGAGGAAACCTTACGAGGACCTTACGAGGAAAAGCTAACCACGCGTTTACGAGGAAATGTTTCCTCGTAAATTAGCTAGAACCTTACAAGGAAAAATTCTTTACGATGAACGTGTTTCGACGAAACGTGTTTCCTCGTAAGTTCCTAGTAAATGATCATTTACTAGGAAATAACGAGGAAAACTCGTCCTAATAATGGATGAGTTTTATTGTAGTGCAAATTGCAGATTTTCTAAACAAGGCGTTGTATCCTTCACCATTTCGGAATCTCATTTCCAAGATGGGAGTTATGGACATCTACACACCTCCATCTTAGGGGGGATATTAGCCGGTTTAGAGTGGTTCAATGTAAATATAAATTAAATCGGTTTAGTTCGGTTTAGGTTACTATATATATTCTGTTTGTAAAAAACTTTATAACTGACGAGATTGAATACAAAGTTCATTTTACACTTTTCTCTGATGAACTTGAATCTCTATTAAACATAGTTGGAATAGGGAATAACGAAAGATGGAGGTCACTTTTCACAGGGTTGGAGCCACAAGTTGCCAATCGTTTTACAAAAATTATTGATTTTATTTATTATCAGTGTTTTTCTTATTGTTTATAGCTCTTGGGGGTGGGCGGAAAATGCTATGAATAGGTTTACGAGCATTTTTTTTTGGGAAAATTGCCAAAAAGGGATGAAATAGGTATACTATTGTCTCCTTAGAACAAAATTTTTGATCTTTGTCCCTATAGTAGAAACAATAATGAATATCCCCTTTTGTCCTTATTCTATTGAAATTTTCCTAATTAAAATGTCCCTAATTATTTTGTAAATGTTTTTAAAATGGTTTTGTTACGACAAAACCTAAAAGAAACCCTCAGCTGCTTTAATAAAAAACAGAAATCAAAACCCTTGCTCCCGACGGAGAAGAAGGAGGCGATATCACCGGCTCACGGTCGTTTCCGTTTTGCCGGAGAGTTCGAAGCAGGCATCACATCTCCTCGTCGTCGTCCTTTCCTCTTTACTTTCCTCTTTACTTTCGGTTTGAAGCATTCATCACATCTCCCTCGTCATCGTTGTCGGAGTTCTCTAACCTCCGATATAGCTGTTTCTCGGTTAAGAAGGGAAGATTACCTACGCAATCTTCTTTGTTTCCTCTTATTTCATCTTGATTCCCAAAACTCGAAGGTTAGGGTTTCGAAATCCCCTTTACAATTTTTCAATTGTTTTCGTTTTTGTTTATGTGCATGTAGTAGAAATAGTTTGAATTGTTTATAACACAAATCGAGTAAACAGCAGAGAATATCTTACGAATATCTTATGAGATAAGTTCCAATGTCAGGATTAATAGAGTAAACAGCAGAGAATATCTTACGAAAATCAGCAGCTCGATAAGCTTTAGATGCCTTTGCAACCAAACCAGCCACACCTTTCCCACCGGTATTTGTTACAACATTATTCAGCAAGTGATGAATACAAATTCCATGATGAGATTGCGGGTATACTGCCTCAATAGCTTTATTAATTGAGGTACACCTATCAGACACAAAAGATAATCTATCGTCGTCAGCAATAACCACATTAAGTTGTCTCATAAACCAATCCCAAGCAAGGTCGTTCTCTGAGTCGACAACTCCGAATGCAATAGGATATAAATTCGAGTTTCCATCTAATGCAGTAGCAACCAGCAATACAC